AGCGGTCCTGACTGTTATTCAAATACCAAAAATAAAACCAATCGAACGATCAGTGATGCATATTACCCACGCCCACTCATAGTACGGAACCGCGTTAGACTATTACACTATCCCACGACACTAGCGACGTAGCCGCCAAACACGGGACTATTCCGTTTCTCATTTGGAACCGAATCAAGGAACGACTCGAGTATCGATTTGAAATGATTCGGAAAAATCAGAAACCGAAATACAACGTGAGCATCGCTCGACAGTTGCCGCGATAACAGACGCGGACTCCCGCTCCGTCAGTGCACATCCGTTAAGTTTTCAAACACATAACTGAGAAAACACCAAAAACTCAAATGTACATTTTCCCATACAAGGCGGTACTCAGCGACGGAGATCGGTCTCACCGAGTCTCACTAGACCCCCGTCGCAGCTTGTAAAGTATGGGAAACCGATGTTTTTTTGATATCCTGCTTGAGCCCTCCAGGAGGATATCGCATTTGAACGTCACCTTAAAAGGATGCGCACCGACGAGCTTGCACCTCGACGACACCGTTTCGAGTGCAAAGATCGTGACGAGATTCGTTTACGGCGATATTGGCTTCAATGCTGCAATCAACCCTAATGGCAGTAACATGCGGTCACAAGACACATAATGAGGGCTATCGTTTTAGCGCTCACCAGTTGGCGCCACTGTAGAGTAAGGTCCTGTCACTTGCTAGTAGCGAAGGCAGTGGCGCCGATTGGTGAGCGCGAAAGTGGTAGGAAGACTAGCGCATTTGCGCTCATCAAGATGGCGCCACTGTAAGGAGTAAAGTCCTGTCAATCGCCAGGGGTGCCAACTGTTAAGTATAAAAACGATAGCCCTCATTCCCGCAACATTGTGATTAATTCGCAAGGTTACCGAGCAATATAGCCGTCACTCGGTCGCTCGGTCCGCGCTGTGTCTCGGCAGTGTGTCGCGTCTCATCGCCCGGCGGGGCGTGGCGGCGGGGCGGGGCGGGGCGTTCAGACGGGCGGCGCGGGGCGCTCGTGCGAGGCGGGGTTGAAGTCCCCGTTCACGAACGAGAAGCCGCGGAACTCCTCCTGCGAGTGGAAACGGTATTGTTACATAACATGCAAATGGTTTTTTTATTTAGTAGCTAACCATTCCCTGCCAGGCTAGCATGCGTGCCGTGATAGAACCATATCTATGTGTACGAGCTATCGTACATTATTACTTGCACATTTCCTTTTTATATAGAATCATTTATTGCTAAGTAGGCATTAAACTGGTTTGACCTAGTTTCAATTCACGCCACTCCGACACTCAGTAATAAATTAGTATATGAGCAGCACTCAAACGGGTCGGTTTTATTTAGCACTCTTCGGAGTAACCCATCCCTCATCAGCAAGCATAGCATAGCAAATACTACACTATGATTTTAGACGTCAAAATGTATGGGCTTATCGCGTAAAATCTTTAAAATAACGCGATAAAGGCTTATCTTGGCGCGCATCCTAGGCTTACAGCAGATTAGCAATTTGTCTGTAAACTGGCACTGAATCTTCTTCAAATGCCATTTTACAAAGTATAATAAGCTCAAGACCATAACAGTTTTTATTAATTTAAATGGCAATGACTCATCACGTCAAGGAATGGAGTACACAATCCTCAAAAATAAGCATCGCATAGGAAGAGACATGACACCGTCCTCTCTTGTGCCCATTTTCACCATCAATCCGTAATTTTTTAAGTGACTCCTGTTATGTGTTACCATAGGGGTCACTTAAAAATTTGGGATTGATGGCGAAAACGGGCATTAATCTCTTAAAGCCCGGTCTGTGAGCAGGTAGAATTTTGTCCAATGACCCCAAGCTGCCCATCCTTGTCGCTCGCACGTAATTATGTTGCTGTCGCGCTCGCACACTCACTGCGGGCGCGCGTCGCACAGTCGCGACAGCAATATAATTACGCGCGAGCGATAAGGATGGGTAGCTTGGGGTCATTGGACGGGATTCTACGTGCTCACGGACCAGACTTTAGATTCGATCGTACCTGGTTGATGGTGCGCACGACGTCGGCGGGCACGGGCGTGAGCACGGGCTCCTCCTTCGTGAACTCCGCGTCGAAGTTCGCCGCCTCGCGCTTGCTCTTCTGCAATCACACACAGCGCGTTAATACTGCACAACTAACTTAGCTATTATGCTATTGTATGTACTAAGAATATCAGCTATAGCTTTAGCGTGCGCAATATTTTTTTCTTTCCGATTTGATCGAGCGTTAATAAATATCCTTGAAATTTAATTTATATTGCGCCATCTACTCCCAAAACTAACCCTTCATCGCACGTGAGGGACGGATCGCTACATGAAGCGATATAATTTCCTACGTACTCGCGTGTTGTGACCTGCTTCATACATGAAGTGTTAAAAATAAAATGAAAAATAAAAATGTATTAATTGCCTTCGAACCATTAGACAGGTACATTAGTGTTGGTCGCATTACGGTTACGTAGCGTCGTGTCGCCCCGCTTCATGACTTGTTCCGTCGCTCACCTAGGACAAGGGACCATCCAGAGAGCCTAGCATTTGACTAGTGCGAACAAGGCTTTACAGATCTTAGCAACCAGTTGCGATTGGTACAACTGCAACGCGATTGCACAGCGCCACGTTCAGTCACAGGTGGCGCTATAAGTCTATCACTTAACTGAGTCAGTGTCTGAGGTAAGGAAGCGACATGGGAGGGTTTCTTTGTGGTGGTCAAACGTCAAGGAGACTTCAGATTTATATGATCTGTCACGTCATATTATGTCAATGGAGCATTCCACGCGAAGCGGACAGGTAAAAAAAGTCGATGTTTCCGATTTCAGTAATTTTTGAGTATGTTCTACCTATACATATTATTGATACGTGTACCAAATATTTTTGTAATATAATGACTAGTTTAAGAGTTATGGGTCTTCGAAGTTTTCGGCAACCGGTTGGCATGCAGTACTTCAAAGCCGATTATGGAGTCATAAAATTATATATTAAAATAATTAAACCACGGGATTTATTACTTCATTTACCGTGCTTTTTAACTGTATTTTTGGAAACGAAAAAAAAACCACCTTGGGCCGGAAGGGCGGGCGCAGGCGGCGCGCGGCGAGCGCGTCCCAGTCCACGTCGCGGAAGAAGGAGATACGTAGGAGCCCCGCGGTAGGACAACGGGAAGCAGTCAGCGAGCCGCACTAGACTCACCACCTTGGGCCGGAAGGGCGGGCGCAGGCGGCGCGCGGCGAGCGCGTCCCAGTCCACGTCGCGGAAGAAGGAGATACGTAGGAGCCCCGCGGTAGGACAACGGGAAGCAGTCAGCGAGCCGCACTAGACTCACCACCTTGGGCCGGAAGGGCGGGCGCAGGCGGCGCGCGGCGAGCGCGTCCCAGTCCACGTCGCGGAAGAAGGAGATACGTAGGAGCCCCGCGGTAGGACAACGGGAAGCAGTCAGCGAGCCGCACTAGACTCACCACCTTGGGCCGGAAGGGCGGGCGCAGGCGGCGCGCGGCGAGCGCGTCCCAGTCCACGTCGCGGAAGAAGGAGATACGTAGGAGCCCCGCGGTAGGACAACGGGAAGCAGTCAGCGAGCCGCACTAGACTCACCACCTTGGGCCGGAAGGGCGGGCGCAGGCGGCGCGCGGCGAGCGCGTCCCAGTCCACGTCGCGGAAGAAGGAGATACGTAGGAGCCCCGCGGTAGGACAACGGGAAGCAGTCAGCGAGCCGCACTAGACTCACCACCTTGGGCCGGAAGGGCGGGCGCAGGCGGCGCGCGGCGAGCGCGTCCCAGTCCACGTCGCGGAAGAAGGAGATACGTAGGAGCCCCGCGGTAGGACAACGGGAAGCAGTCAGCGAGCCGCACTAGACTCACCACCTTGGGCCGGAAGGGCGGGCGCAGGCGGCGCGCGGCGAGCGCGTCCCAGTCCACGTCGCGGAAGAAGGAGATACGTAGGAGCCCCGCGGTAGGACAACGGGAAGCAGTCAGCGAGCCGCACTAGACTCACCACCTTGGGCCGGAAGGGCGGGCGCAGGCGGCGCGCGGCGAGCGCGTCCCAGTCCACGTCGCGGAAGAAGGCGTGCGCGCGGATGCCGCCCGCGCCGCCGCTCACGCCGAGCCGCCGCGCCGGGTTCTTCGTCATGAAGCCTGAGGACATAGATACGAACGTTGAAAAACAGTGTTTCAATGTGAAACAGTATGTTGTAAAAATAATATCAAAAGTCGCGGTGATTCGGGCAGCCCTAGTGATGCTCTACCTCTGGGCTTCGGCTTCGAAATTCAAACAATTTTAAGACTGATTGAATCTTAACTTGGCTTCCGAGTCGAGTTTTGATGTAGAATTCTGAGCGTAGTTGAAACACTATAGAAGCCACGATAACCGAACGGTACAGGAGTCGGACTAGCTGAGTCGTCATCCGAGGTACGCGGGTTCGATCCCCGCTGACGCTCGACTATTGTGGTGAGCTAACACGTGACACAAGCATATTTAGATTAGTACGAGAGGCTACTTTAATCAATATTATGGGAGACTTTTGTCCAGCAGTCGTTTGGTTTCGACAGACGAATTAAATATTTATCAAATAAAACAGATTCACTTTGCAGTTGCAAAGTTCTTTTTAAATAATGCCATGTTCAGCAAGTGGACATCCTGTGAAATGATGATCACAAAACGATGCTATTGAGTTTTGTTCCTTTTTTTTTCAACAAATAGACGACCACTACTGGCCATAGGCATCCCCCTAATTTGCCCTCATCCAGGCGCTTACAGCAAACTACAACTTACCGCAGTCTTTCATTCCGCAGTCTGCATCCGCATCACTTCTACGAGTTTTGTATCTGCTACTTAAGTTTGGCCAGTGTCATGACTTTTATAATATCAGCGACACGTTATCTGCCTCAAAGGACCATCGTCAGTCTCTTACCCTTGAGGATGGAGACGGCCTCCTTGGACAGCCAGACGGGGTAGAGCACGTCGTCGTGCAGGATGGACTCGAACAGGTCGTCCTCGTGTCGGGCTCGCAGGACCAGCGTCGGGGCACTCACCCTTGAGGATGGAGACGGCCTCCTTGGACAGCCAGACGGGGTAGAGCACGTCGTCGTGCAGGATGGACTCGAACAGGTCGTCCTCGTGTCGGGCTCGCAGGACCAGCGTCGGGGCACTCACCCTTGAGGATGGAGACGGCCTCCTTGGACAGCCAGACGGGGTAGAGCACGTCGTCGTGCAGGATGGACTCGAACAGGTCGTCCTCGTGTCGGGCTCGCAGGACCAGCGTCGGGGCACTCACCCTTGAGGATGGAGACGGCCTCCTTGGACAGCCAGACGGGGTAGAGCACGTCGTCGTGCAGGATGGACTCGAACAGGTCGTCCTCGTGTCGGGCTCGCAGGACCAGCGTCGGGGCACTCACCCTTGAGGATGGAGACGGCCTCCTTGGACAGCCAGACGGGGTAGAGCACGTCGTCGTGCAGGATGGACTCGAACAGGTCGTCCTCGTGTCGGGCTCGCAGGACCAGCGTCGGGGCACTCACCCTTGAGGATGGAGACGGCCTCCTTGGACAGCCAGACGGGGTAGAGCACGTCGTCGTGCAGGATGGACTCGAACAGGTCGTCCTCGTGTCGGGCTCGCAGGACCAGCGTCGGGGCACTCACCCTTGAGGATGGAGACGGCCTCCTTGGACAGCCAGACGGGGTAGAGCACGTCGTCGTGCAGGATGGACTCGAACAGGTCGTCCTCGTGTCGGGCTCGCAGGACCAGCGTCGGGGCACTCACCCTTGAGGATGGAGACGGCCTCCTTGGACAGCCAGACGGGGTAGAGCACGTCGTCGTGCAGGATGGACTCGAACAGGTCGTCCTCGTTGTCGGCCTCGAAGGGCGGCTGTCCGGCCAGCATCTCGTACACCAGCACGCCCAGCGCCCACCAGTCCACCGATGGACCGTACTCCAGCTCTTGCAGGATCTGAGGAAGTCATCCCAACTAATATTATAAATGCGAAAGTAACTCTGTCTGTCTGTCTGTCTGTCTGTCTGTCTGTCTGTCTGTCTGTTACGCTTTCCCGCTTAAACCTCGCAACCGATTTTGATGAAATTTGGCATAGAGATAGTTTGAGTCCCGGGAAAGAACATAGGATAGTTTTTATCCCGGTTTTTGAAACAGGGACGCGCGCGATAAAGTTTTTCTGTGACAGACAAAATTACACGCGGGCGAAGCCGCGGGCGGAAAGCTAGTATTCATATAATTGGTTCCGCAACATTGGACGCTGCTGTCGACGAGAGAGAGAACAAGACGTCGCTTGCCTCTCTAACTGACGTATCTGACATTTTTTTCGAAACTGAGTTATCTGACACCATCTTAATCAATTTCGCAAGACGAATCGATCTGTCTAATCGCCTGAAAATTTTGCAAAATGTCAGTTAGAGAGGCAAGCGACGAAGAGAACTGCTGGCAGTTAGTGAGCAATCATATCGCGCATGTGACAGCAATGGCTCACCTACTGGAATGCCTCTTAGACCACAAGGCATAGTTAAGATACGTACAGAGTTGGTCTCGAGGTCAATAAACAGATGATATAAAAGAAAAGTGAGCTACATAACCTTAATCCTACCCAAAGAAACATAAAATAGCAAAATATTATGTATTTTCAACATCGTCTGATGAAGTAATTTTTTTTTTTTGCAATATTGTATACAGTGCAACTTGATCAAATCTTTATCCAGTTAATCCACTATCATGACGTCTTCATCAATCAAGTTGTTATCAATAATTCCATTTTTTTTTTATCCACAACGAGGATTCCATAAACCCAATAAATGTCAGTTCACAAACATACCTCAGGCGCAATGTAGTCCGGAGTCCCGCAGAACGTTGTGGTGGTCGCGCCGTCTGAAACCATACATCACAACTTTATATCTGGTCCTTTAATAGAAGATGCCTATAAAATGAGTAGCTACAGGCCCTCAGCTCTCATAATCTCATGGTCACTGGGCAACCCTGCGCCGCAGCCGGCTGCGAACAGTCGGCCGCTTTGCAGTCCCCCTCTGAAACGCTCAGTATCATCATTGGGCCACATTAATCGATCAATCTAAGATTGGTTTAGAAAATGGAATAATAAGAAATATAGGTTTGTAAAAGACGAGATAGCAAGAATTTAAAAATATTGTGCTCAGATTAGTGATCTTCCTGACTGCCGGAATACGACTCTCTAATTTACTCAGAGGCACACGGAGGATTTGGCTTCTTTTCACCCTGTGCATCATAAGCCTTTTAGACTATTTTTTCACTTCTTCTGGCGCACGCACTAGCAATGTAGACGTGGCCACTCACCCAGGATGCCCTCCTTGCACATGCCGAAGTCGGCCAGCTTGCAGTGGCCCTCGCTGTCCAGCAGGATGTTGTCCAGCTTCAGGTCGCGGTAGATGACGCCGTGCGAGTGCAGGAATTGCAGTGCCAGCGTCACTTCCGCCGCGTAGAACCTGCATAAAACCGATACAGGTACTCATTTGTGGGACAAAGTGTAATCAAAAAGACATGAGGGAATTGGGGCTGTTCACTGACAATGCTGACCAGCGGAATAAATATCGCTGCATGATAGGGATAGGATAGATTTTCAAACACTCTGTGCGCAAACATTTTCTTGAACGCATCATGTCGTCTTGATCTCCCTTATTCTTTCCTTTTCTCCCTTATCCTCTCCTATCCTCCCTTACCTCTCGTCATCCATTTTATATAAATTACTAGCTGACCCGGCGAACTTCGTACCGCCTTAGCGTAGAGATTTTCTTAATATTTTTTTCCGTAAGAACCATCCTTGGACTTCCACAAACATTTAAAAAAAAGAATTATCGAAATCGGTTCAGCCGTTCACACGTGATGCCGTGACAACGCGAAACGGGTTTCATTTTTATATATATAGATATGTATGTATTTATGTATATATTTTGTATAAATATAGGTATATTATAATATTTAATGTATTATATTGTGTACATTTTTGTAGCTTTTTAGCACCGCCTACTAAATATCTCTGTTTTGCTCAAGGTCAGCTGGTAGAGAATGACGTATGGCATTAAGCTCGCCTTTTTGTACAGAACATTGTTGTGTGTGCAATAAAGTCTTTAAATTAAAAATTAAATAGGGAAAGCCAAACCTGCATATGGGCGAGGTTGAAGGAAGAATGGGTAGTCAAAGATCTGTCAGTTACGACGCTAGACATTTTCATTGTCAATTCATTGAGCGGTAATTGAGCTCAGTGTAGACGACGCTAAATGTTGATCACTGTTGCCGATTAATGTGTTATGCAAAATTGAGTCAGTGTGAGTAGGACCAGATCACACTCGCCTCGACCTCAATGCTGAGCGACTGCTGAATGCCGGAACTACGCTGCACGAAATACGCTAGTTTGAGGCATGCGTGACCAGCGTGTTATTTTCATACTTGAACAAACAAGGATTGATTCTACTGAATAACTTTTCCCAAGAGACTGAAGTTCAAAATATTAAAAAAATACTTTTCCACACAAATTATTATCAGCAATTTGATCTATTCCTGTAGGAAAAGTAGTATTCATGAAGTAGCATAAACATTTTTTGAGTGAAAAAAACATATTCTGCATGATCGAAGAGGGTGTGGCGTTGTTACCTAGCCCTCGGCTCGTCGAACTTGCGCGCGCGCTGTATCTGGAACATGAGGTCGCCGCCGTCGACGTACTCCATGACGAAGAACAGGCGGTCGCGCGTCTGGAAGGCGGAGTGCAGCGCCGTGAGGAACGGGTGCCGCGCCGCCAGCGCCAGCACGCGCCGCTCCGTCAGCGTGCACTCCACGTCGTCGTCCTGGATGATCGCGTCCTTCTTCAGCACCTTCACCGCGTACACCTGGGGAGATACACAATATTTAGGTTAAGAACCTTCGCCCACGGCGACGTTTTGTAGCGATGCAGTCGCGCTGATGTAGCGCGTTGGCATCACTTTAGTGCAGTCTTTCCCAAAGTGGGCGATAACGCCCCCTTGCGTTGCAGACTTAAAGGGGGGCGGTAAGAGACAAAAAATCGGGACGTTGTGTAGAGGCTTGGGAGGCGTCATCTACTAGGAGGATTCTTAGACACCGACTGAGCTCGACTCTTGACGACAAAAATGGGGGGCGTAAAAAATAATTTATTCTCAAAGTGGGCAGTAGACTAAATAAGTTTGGGAACCGCTGCTTTAGTGTGTTGCAAATGCGACTAACGCGTGTTAGTAGCGATGCTGTCGCTCGTTTACGAGGTCGCCGTGGGCGAGGGCCCTAAGATTACACTTTGCTGCCCTTTAGGGTGACTTCCGACTGTTGCATTTACTTATTATTTTGTTGAGCGGCTATTCTAATTCAATGACGTCCTAATATCAGTGCGATCGGTATCGATGTATTGTGATCGCCATTATTTTACAGTACGCCTCCAAGTCCAAGTAGTGTAGTATCGTATATGTATAAAGATATAGTGTAGTATACATATAAAGATGTGTAGAAGCGTTTCGTCCGCCTCATGACATATCTTGCACGTTCTTGATTAATACAGTCCCATAGTGGATGAATGCTTGTTTCATCCAATGTCCAGTAAAGGCTTGAACTAGGATGCGGATTTTGATCCTGCCCAGTCCTATAACAGCTTCAAACACTTTAGTTAGATCATTTATGAGAACTTCGAGTTGAGATAGTAATGGCATGTCTAACCATGTGTTATAGGATTTGTTTTGATAAAGGTTCTACAAGGCTCAAACAAGACTAAGTTCTAGGGATATCACAAAAGATTTAATATTAAAGATAATTTTATCACAAAAGAGCTCTAGACCATACCGTGTTCCCCAGTAACTAAACGAACAAAGAGCGTACCTCATCGGTGCCCTTCTTCTCTGCCAGCATGACCTTCCCGAAGGAGCCCTTGCCCAGCACCTTGATGAAGTGGAAGTCCTCCAGCGACACCTTGTCCGGCCCGCCGCCCGCCATGCCGTCGCCGCCTACGACACAAATACACTCTTTAACATTGCACATTACTAGGGAAGACCGAGGACAGTTGTAACAGAGGAGAGTGTTGTTACATTGAATATACACCACTACATTTTTATCACCGAAAAAATTTTAACAGGTTATGTATAAATAAATGTGTGAAAAAATAAAGCAAAAGAAAAAAAATAGTTTTTCACAGTTTATTTTTTTTATTAAATTTAGTGGTGTATATTATAGATTTTTGGAAACATATACGAGCTCGCAACAGCGCGTATTTGTTAGCTCGAGACTTGAACTAAAAAACGCGAAATGTTACGAGCGCGCTGGTAGTAAAATCGACAGTTACAACCTCCTTTGTTACAAATCACCTCGCTCTCCTCTACGTGGTAATAATCTATGATTTACCAAGACCAACCAAATATATGCGCGTTTAAAAACGGAAAATAACTAGCTACTGTACATACCTGATGACAGAGTTTTGAAGCGATTACGTGCTCATATATTTTTATATTTGCAAGAAATTGGGTATAAAATATTGAAATTGATCAAAAATGCTTACCCATCTAATAATAAACAGTTACACGTATGTTGAGCACAACTTTAAAATGACATTTCCGTATTAATCACTTTAAACCGGTGCAACGGGCGTGTAACTTTTATCAGTAAGGGGATAACAAATTTTGTCTATTCACTTATCACACAATCTGAAAAGCATCGATAAAAACCCAAACAAGCCCCCACCACCTAGCTATAATCGCAACATCGTACTATACGTCTGCTGTGGTCCGAATATCTCCGCCAGATCGTCCCAATGCGTGACAGTCGGCCAGGCGGGTTTGGCGAACGCACACGAGCCGAACATTCCGTTGCCGTTCGTCCCACTCGTTCCGTTTGAGGTCCAGTTCATCCCGCCGGCGGTCCAGCTGAGCCCGTTGGTCCAGTCGCCGCCGCCGAGCCCGTAAGACTCGAAGGTGCCGTTGGCGGTGAAGCCGAGAAAGAACTCTGTGCGTGCGGGACGACACAAGGCATGATGCAAACAAAAATAATGCGGCGGGTAAGACATTGACAATGGGTGGTGATGATGGTGGTGGTGTCTTTCAACATTACGCTTTTTAAATGCATAAAAACCATTCTCATTTTTGGAGTATCAACTCCGTCGTCAATCAGAAGTAAATTGTAAATTAAATGTGAGTGTGAGTGATATATTTCAATTACTTTCTCATACTATGACACTCGTCTAAATTATTGTTATTCAAGGAATCTACAAAAACTAAGTTCATGCTATTTACCTGAATGTGCCAGGAGGGTTATGTTTTTTAATAAACTAATAATTTGTTATTGGTATGTTATAGTCAAACCTCGAAGTTCCGGCACTCCTAGGTTTGACTAGTCAATCCTCAGGTCTGACTAGAAGTCTTAGTCAAAGCCCAAACATTTCGGCCTTTGACTAAATAATGTTAGTCAAACCTAGGAGTAACTTATTTGGTCAGGCAAAGGTCGAAACTCAATTTAATGAAATCGGGGTTTGACTAGTCAAACCTCAATTAAGACTTTAAACTAAACTATACTTCATTCTGATCTTGAACTTATTGCATAGGCGTTACGGTCGGTTTTCACGCGCACGCGCAGCTGTCTCTTTAGGTGAAGGTACGAGTAACTAAACTTATTTACTGAGGTTGTTTGTCAGTGTTTCTAGATCGATCTTGAAATTACAAATTTCGGGTTCTGTTACCTTAAATTAAAGGATAAAGAGTTAAAACGCGACCCTATTACTATGACTTCGCTAAAGGTTGTCTGTCACCAGGCTCGTATCTTATGAATCATTCTCAAAATATTTAGTTTTTTATTCACCTTAAAAATAAATAATTCAATAAAATACTTTAAATATTTAAGAGGGCTCCCATACAGCAAACGTGACTTGTTGCAGTTTTCTACTCGATATTAAAACGTAAACAGGTGAACCCTTGAAATATTCACATAATAATTGCATATCTATTTTAAAAAAATAATCATAAAATTAAAATAAAATAAATATTTATGGGGTGCTCCCATACAATAACAAAGTCTCACGGAACCCTTCGTGAGCGAATCCGACTCGCACTTGGCCGGTTTTCTATTTGCCGTCTACTTTTGAACGAGTCTGCCAGTCGTTTCTAGGTTTGACTAGGCAAAGCCCGAAACAGATTATTTTAGTTTCGGCGTTTGACTGAACAGTTTAGGCACTTCTAGGTTTGACTTAGTCAAACGCCGAAATAAGAATTCATTACGGGGTTTGCCTGAAGGCCGTGGTCAAACCTAGGATAGACCAGTCATTCCGCGAAGAGACTGCATATCGACCTTTGACTATGACAGGTACACAATCATCTCTTTATATTGAATGTTGAAAGACAATAATGGTAGACGAAAAAATGCAAAAAAACATCACATAGTTAAACAGATAAGGCAAATAATAAACATTTGGGAAAACTAGTTTTAATGGTAATTTTTGCAGCAAATTGAAATAAAAACATGCTGAATGTTAACAAAGACTTGATTAAGGGACATATAGCTTATGAAGCCGGCTTTAGACATGTGAAAACTTATGTTATCGGTGTTGTATACCTTTCGAGTAGAATAAAGATTCTACAGCAGCAACAATTACAACAGATGGGTGATTCCACTTATCCCTATTGGCTTGCCCCATCAACTGGAGATTGTAAACTTTTCTTTCACAAATCCCCTTTCAGTGCTAAGCACAGCTAGACCGTTGATGGGACAAGTCAATGGGGGTTAGAAGAACCAAAAAATGACAACTAATAACAAAATATCATCTAAAAGGACTTTTAAACTTATCCCAGTGACAAAAGAAACAAATGCCGCTCCAAAAGTAACACCGTCACTTGTTTTATCCTCACGTGTCTCGGCCGAGCTTCATCTCATTCACATAAGCATGTACACACACATCTAGCGTATACTGACTGACGTAAGTTGACTGACCTTTGTCGTCGTGCTTGTCGCCGTCCTTGCCGTCCGCGTCGCCGGAGGAGCCGAGCTCGGGAGTGCCCTCCATAAGAGGTGTGTTTAAGTACTGCGGGGAATAATATGAAATGTGAGACTTTGAAACAGCAGTGTGCGAGGACAAAAAGATTAAGTTATGATCGAATTGTTTTATTTTTCTGTTTTCAAGCTCTGTTGAAAATATGGATGTGCTAGGTTTACGCCCTTAGGCCCAGAACAGACGGTGAAACGCAACTGCAACGAAACTGCAACTTTGTGATGAAACTGCAACTTTGTGATGATTCTGATGAATGAAACTGAAAGTTTCAAACTGGTCGCGTCATGTGTGGTCTCTCAACGGACGCTATGGCAGAAACTTAGATGCAACTCAAAAGTAACTAGCAGTTGCAGTTTCGTTGAAGTTGCGTTTCACCGTCTGTTCTGGGCTTTACTGATTCTTTATGTCTAGATATTATAGATTTACGTCGGCACGAGTACTTAGAAGAGTTCCAAGAACAGCATCTTGCTTTTCAGACAAACAGGTTCGAGCCTATAATATTCAAACCACACCCTAGTGTGAATTTCCAAAATATACAAAACAATTTTTAAAATTTTAAATCAGTATATTCAGGATTTTGAACTAGCCAGTGACAAGTACGGGCTATACTGGACACATTTACTGAGTGACGTTTTGGTTACTATACCTAATTATCAATGTTATCTTTCCTTTCTTTCAAATACACTCAACATCAAATAAACCGCAACTTCCGACTCGGGATCCTTCTAAAGACACATTTTTGGGATCAAAACTTTTCCTTTAATAATGAGGTTTAGAACTAGGCTTTTAAATGGTGCCAATATTGGTGGGAAGTGTGGATGCATACGTTTGAAAGTCCTTGTCGCGGGAGGTGCGATTTATTTGACGTCGAGTGTAGTTATTTTCCTATTTGTATATCTCACCTTGGAAGGCCTGGGGCGGGGGTTCTTGTCGGGCGAGATGCCCATCTCGTTGAGGATCTCGGCCATCATCTTGGTGTTGATGCCGCAGTTGTTGGCCACGTTCTTCTGGCAGCGCTTGTGCACGTTCATCGAGCACACTGCAAGCAAACACCGACTCTGTCACAACCGCACAAGGTCCAACTTGATGAGTACTGTGCCCCGATTGCGCTAATTTTTAACGTCTCCAATTCATTGGCGCTTCTTCTGCAGTTGCGCTCCGTTTTTCATTCCAGCTGAGGTGCAAATTCGGTATCACGGTAAAGTTTATGCGCAAAACAGATTCGAACGAAGCTGAGCGTAAAACGCACATCAAATTAGGGACGACGTCGAAGTTCAAGTGTTGGTTGCACTACTTTTGACTGAAAATAATGACGTTTACTTTGTTTTGAAGAATTTTCTAAAGCCTGGTCCGTGAGCAGTACGTGCTCACGGACCAGGCTTTAACTTTAATCGAAGGGGCAGCTACTCTTTGTTTATGTCTATGCTTCGTTTCAACTAGCTGTCAAAACGACATCGCGATACGAATTGGCAAAACAGCTGATGTTTGTTCGTCGTCCGGACGCATTGAAGATTAAAATTTTTAGCGCAAAATTTTTAGCGCAATCGGGGCTCTGGTCGCTGAATGTGAAGCGCTTGTAGGAGTGCACCACGAGCGTGCGGCACTAATGTGGACTCTATCGCGAGCGCACAGGGTCCACGGTCGCTCACCCTCGCACTGCAGGCCCTGCTTGATGAGCCCGTAGAGCAGCGAGCCGCAGTGGTCGCAGAAGGTGAAACGCTTGTAGGAGTGCACCACGAAGCGATGTGGCACGTTGACGTTGAACCGCTGACCGCCCGACACGCCCACCGAGTGTTGCTATATATAAAAATTATAACATTAGACATTGGTCGCTTATGGGTCATTCTAAGTTAAGAGGTACTTTCGATGGCAAGGGCAAAAAAGTACCTTTTTTTTATTCTAATTTCCTAATTAACCTATTTATTACTTAAAACTAAATGTCTTCTACATGCTCACTTAAATTTATTACAGAAATGTACACAGTTTAGTCACAATAAGTTCTAATACAAGAAAAACGTCTCTACCCTGGGCTGTCCCAAACCCGACTTTATTTGTAAACCAATTATTATGAACGTATTAAAATTAAATAATTACTTCATCATCGTTAATTTTATACAGAACAATAACTTAGGAACACTGTCTTATAAGTCAAATTACATAAATTCCAATTTTTCATAAATAATATCAACGCCGAAATTTGTCCTCCGTATTTCGTGTCTCGTCCCCTGGCTTTTTGTTTTCGTTTAAAAGTCAGTTTTGTTTTACTATTTTGTGGAAGTTATGTCCTTTAGTGCATAGGATGTAACGTGAAGCTATCATCAAGCGGCGCATAAGCCGACTGCGAAGTCATTTTAACCGCCATTTCAGTCACGCCGCTCGCTCGGTGTAGAAGTGTTGAGTGAATGCAGTCTTTCCTCTGGTAAGTTTTATTCAGCAATTATTTGTTAAAATACTAATGTAAACTTCAATATTTACTATGAATAGTGCATACATTGTTACGTTTGGTTGTGAATTGCGTACGAGAAACACTTTTACGGCTATTTTAGATATTGATCGAAAATGTATCTCCCCTGCCGTATTTCCCCTGGCTTTTTTGATGGCAGGGGAGATTCGTAATGACCAGGGGAGATACATTTGTATGCGTTTTCATGAATACTTCTATATTTTTCTCAGGGTTCGAGGATATATATCAAGGGATATATATCAAGATATACAGGGTGTTTCTTGTAAGGTGTCAAGCCGAAGGCAGGTGATAGGTGAGGACTAGACCTATCGATTTCACCCCCATGTATGTTCTACGATTTTTCATAGTTTAGAAGTTATCGTCAATTTTGTGTTTTTTTCAAATTGTATGACCCAGTAGGCTTTAAAATTTTTTATCTTTTTTTTACTTGGTATTATGTATATCTTAGTTTTACAATTTAATATGACTTTTTTACAGAAAAAATGGCATCTGGAAAGCTAAAGCCCTTGAGAAAACCTGCCCAAATATGTAAATTTTCACCGTAGATACACCGTACACATACTATCGGAAAAAGCAGCAACATTAGGTTCTACTGAAGGTATAAAGACTTTTTCAGGCACAGTAAAGGTTCACCAAGTTACCGGTTGCGTATTTATACCTGACATTATAAAAAGTTTGAGATGCTTCTGTGACTCCAGCCAGAGTTATGTCATCATTTTGATTTGGGTACCTACTTTGGATTATCCACACACACATGCTAAAGTCACTGTTTCTGTGAAGGAAACTACGCAACATCTTTTCGTCCAAAATACCTCAGTGCCTATAGACGAAAGTCTTCAATCAAGCAACCTCAAGTGGCAAAGGGCAGGGCACATAGTACGCGGAACTAACGGCCGATGGGGCAGCAAGGTTCTGGTGGAGACCTCGTACCGGAAAGCGCAGTGTAGGACGTCCACCCACAAGGTGGACCGACGACCTCATAAAGGGAGCAGGAAAGGGCTGGATGCAGGCCACCACCAACCGGTCATTGTGGAAATCATTGGGGGAAGCCTATTTTTAGCAGTGGACGTCTTATGGCTGAAATGACGATTATGAATTGATGATGATGTTTCTTTAATCTCCTGGGATCAGGTTTTAAAAAAACTACCCTAACCTAACTTAAAAATGAGAGGGCAGCATATTTTTTTTGCTTTAATGAATCTATTGATGTCTTTGAACGCAGGTTTTACATAAAGATTTTTTTTAGTTACCTCTCAATTCAAATGGTTGTTAAAGTACAAGAAAAGTTTAATACTGTTTCAGAGAAGTTTTTGTTTCTTTTTATTTCGTTATTGACTATTGATAGTTGTTTTGATGGAAAGTAAAAGTAAGAACCTTTTTATGTTTTGTACCTAGGCTTAAAATACATTTTTGTTAACAAAGTTTGCTAAAAAATGAAAAGTCTGATTATAAATAATTCATAATTAAAATTAAAATAAATAAATAACTTGTTGATTCCTAAAAATACAGTGTTTTTAGTATGTCTATGTCTCTTCCCTGTCCATAAAGTATCCTCCCGTGTGCACCTTGTCTCTACCCTGGACTGAGTATTTACCCTGGTCGCTTATAAAACGAGAAAAAACCAACAAATTGACTGGCCACTTTGTAAACATTTTCAACTTAAAGGTTTCCATAAAACAGATGTATACTTAAGTAAAAATATTTAAAAAAATGCCGTGCCGGCGCTCCATACAACACATTACCTCTTAACTTAGAATGACCCATAAACAGTTTCCAATCCAAATATATTCTTTAAACACTGCTGCTTTTTGCAGTATATACTGCAAAAGACGCAATGCAATTGATGCATGTTTTTTAAAATACTTATCTAAGCACAGTATTTTCATTGCACATGTATTTTGCTAGTCAGCTCATTGTATCAAACCGATTCTTGTAGGAGCTAGTGATCCTCCTCCTAAAATACAAAGCCGACGTCCACATCATGAACGGCGAGGGCCGGACTGCGGGCGACATGTGCCGATCACGTGACGTCAGGCGGCTGGTCGATGCAGCGCAGCGGGCAGAGAGGCTTGAGAGAGAGCAGCGGCTGTTGACAGCGGCCAAGGAAGGAAAGATTGAGGAGATACAAGAGTTGGTGAGTAGAGAGGCGAACTGCGGCTACATGTGCAGGTCACGTGACGTCAGATGGCTTGACAGAGAGCAGCGGCTGTTGACAGCAGCCAAAGAGGGGCGGATTGAGGAGATACAGGAATCGGTGAGTCAGGGGTCGGACTAAGGGGGACATTTGAGATCACATGAAGTTTGTCGCTTGGTTGATGCGACACGGTGCGCGTAGAAGCTCGAGAGAGCATCGGCTATTGACAGCAGCCAAGGTGGGCGGATTGAGGAGATACAGGAATTGCTGAGTCGAGGGTTGGACTACGGCTACATGTGCAGGTCACGTGACGTCAGATGGCTTGAGAGAGAGCAGCGGCTGTTGACAGCAGCCAAGGAAGGAAAAATTGAGGAGATACAGGAATTGGTGAGTTGATGGCTGGACTAAGGGTGACATGTGCCGATCACGTGACGTCAGGCGGCTTATCGACGCACCGCAGCGGGTTGAGAGGCTTGAGAGAGCAACGGCTGCTGACAGCAGCCAAGAAGGCAGCGGGGCAGGAACTGGTGAGTTGAGGGCCGGTTGTTATAATTAGATTGTGATTAATAGACACAGTTTCCTATCCTTGAACTACTTGCTGGGACTTCTGCTCAAAAACAATCTTCAAGAGTCCCAATAACTGCCAAAGTAAGCTCGCACTTATCTTATTTAGGGCCGCGCATGATAAAAAAAAGTTAGCTCGCCTCTGCAGTCATCATTACCAAACGACTAGTGAAAATGGTTCCCCAAATTGCACTATTGAGGCTGACAATAGTGACTGAGTTTCTTGCGCTGCTTCNAGTAAGAACCTTTTTTTATGTTTTGTACCTAGGCTTAAAATACATTTTTGTTAACAAAGTTTGCTAAAAAATGAAAAGTCTGATTATAAATAATTCATAATTAAAATTAAAATAAATAAATAAAGTTGATTCCTAAAAATACACTGTTTTTAGTATGTCTATGTCTCTTCCCTGTCCATAAAGTATCCTCCCGTGTGCACCTTGTCTCTACCCTGGACTGAGTATTTACCCTGGTCGCTTATAAAACGAGAAAAAACCAACAAATTGACTGGCCACTTTGTAAACATTTTCAACTTAAAGGTTTCCATAAAACACATGTATACTTAAGTAAAAATATTTAAAAAAATGCCGTGCCGTCGCTCCATACAACACATTACCTCTTAACTTAGAATGACCCTAATATAGTTCCAAAATACTGGACTGTCCTGTCGATGACATTGACAGTGGGGCGCCACCGTCAATACCGGATCGCTGGTTCAGATTTTTGCCATGTTGGAAACCATATAGTTGAACGATGGTAGCGCCCGCCTGTCATTGAGTTTGGTGGGACAGTTCAGCGTGGGTCATCTACATTTGGACCTCCCTACACTATATCACGGAAAAAATGTTGGCCGCCGCGACCGGAGGGCTGAGAGTGAGTTAACATCAAAGGTCCTCACTAGTGAGCGCGTTAAAAAAAATGAAAATTTTAATTCTTGAAAGTTTCCGCTAGTGGCGCTGTACAATCCGTCATACATCCCAACTAATATTATAAATGCGAAAGTAACTCTGTCTGTCTGTCTGTCTGTCTGTCTGTCTGTCTGTCTGTCTGTTACGCTTTCCCGCTTAAACCTCACAACCGATTTTGATGAAATTTGGCATAGAGATAGTTTGAGTCCCGGGAAAGAACATAGGATAGTTTTTATCCCGGTTTTTGAAACAGGTGCAAACAGGTGCGCGATAAAGTTTTTCTGTGACAGACAAAATTCCACGCGGGCGAAGCCGCGGGCGGAAAGCTAGTTTAATGTAATTTTTTTACGCGCTCACTAGTGAAGACGTTTTATGTAAACTCACACTAAGCCCTCTGACCACGCGACTTGGTCGTTCAATGCGTGTGGGAACTAAGCACTTACGGGTACCTAAAGCTCACTGTATTATTGCAATAGCAACCCCTGAACTTATGAAAATTAAATTAACTAACACAAGAGATATTGTTGTGAGAATCACAAAAATAGTCAAATTGATGTTTAAGCCTTTAAATGTAATTACATAAAAAAATTGCATCCATAAGGCTTTTTACATAGAAAATAAGAAATAAACATAATTTGAAACTTGATAATAATGAATGCATCCTACCTCTTCCTTCATCCCAGGACACTTGGTGACGACGGACGAGTGGCAGCGCTTGTGAACCACGCACGTGCACACTGCAGAAAACATTGTCGTTTTATTGGTGTTGCAAGTTAAAAAGAAGTCTTTGGGAGGTTTCTCAGAAATATAGAGAGAATTACTGATTAAAGTTATTTACCTTGACACTGGTATCCCTGCTTGCCAATACCCCTGTAATCAAAAAAATCTGTTAGATATTTGAAAAATAAAAACATGAAAAATTGGAAGTATCGATAATCCCATGTGGAGATATTATCGATTCTGATTGAAGAATAAAATCTACAGTCTGTTTGTCTAAAAATAATTGTTATGTATCGATTTTTTTCCTATTTAAAAATCGATATATTTAAAGAGGGACATAATCAATTAATTGATAATCGATTTTTCAGCAACACTAGTAGTCTCTAGCTAAGTGGAGTGACGACTTGTTAGTCATCACTCGCGGAGGTAAATAAGCACAACAGTGGGTAGTGGGCAATCCCACCACCCACTCATGGCCATATATCAACCTCGCGGTTATTGAGTCGAATCGTGACTGTCGTGAGAGATGCACGCGTGCAATTCTTGACTCTACACGTTATTGACTCTAAAGTACGGCCAACGAGAAGCGATACCAAATGTAAACAAACCCAATGTCATTGTCATTTGGAATAGTAGAGGTGGGTTGCACCACCTATCTTTAACGGTAACTATGACGATAACTGGTGCTTTTTGTATGGAATTTGACAGATTTTTGACGTTTGTCAAAGTTAAAGTAAGATGGTGCAACCCAGCCTAAGGGTTTAACTTTGACATATTTTGGCGGGAGAACGAGCCATTACGACAAATACACAAGATGGGAAGAGACAGAATAGATTGTCAATGAGGGCTATCGTTTTAGCGCTCACCAGTTGGCGCCACTGTAGAGTAAGGTCCTGTACTCCTGTCACTTGCTAGTCGCGAAGACAGTGGCACCAACTGGTGAGCGCTAAAGTGGTAGGAGGACTATCGCATTTGCACTCATCAAGATGGCGCCACTGTAGAGTAAGGTCCTGTCAATCGCCAGGGGTGCCAACTGTTAAGTATAAAAACGATAGCCCTCATTCGAAAGTCGCATCGACCTTTTGTATTGCTTCTCGTTGGCCGTACTTTAGTAGGCTACTGCCTACTGGCAGTGGGCCGTGTGCACTGACCATATGAACTCGCGGCAGTGCGAGCAAAAGGTGGGCTGGCGCAGGAAGGTGGCCATGAACTTGTGCCCGTTGACCTGGTGCACGCGCCGCCGCATGGCGCCTCGCCGCCGCGCGAAGCCCGCGCCCTCCTTGAACTCGCGCGTCTGCCGGCATGTCTCCGCCGCGGCGCCTGCGCACACGGCGAATATGACAACATGTTTATAATATTAGTAACTTAGTAAGATGGTTACTTTCGAGGTCGACTGGAAGAGAAATAATCGTAGAAGTCCCTACGCAAAGTAACTAGGAGCCCGAGATACTTAATTACCACATTGCTCATATAAATTATTTTAAAACAAAGTTTAAAAAGTTTACTTTTTTTTGGAAAAAAAAACTTTCATGTTTATGGACATCTCAGAATTCAGCTCCAAAGGGGCCGTCCATAAATTACGTCATCGATTTTTTCAGATTTTAGACCCCCCCCCCCTACAATCATCCTATCGTCATTTCTTAATGACCCCCCCCCCTTCTCCCAAAATTGACGTCATTACCAGTTTGACAAAATTAAAACACTTGGTTACAGAATCACCTTTTTTTTTTAATAGATAGAGTGATTCTTAAGGAAGGTTTATATGTATAATGACATGTAAGTACCACGGGCGAAGCCGGGGCGGGCAGCTAGTATTATACATATGTAATACTAGCGGCCGCCTGCGACTTCGTACGCATGGATCCCGTTTTACCCCCTTCATCTACTTTACGCGGTTTAGATTTTTTCATACAAATGTTTTTTCCCGCTAACTCCCGTTCCCGAGGGAATTTTACAATATCCTGTTGTAACTAAGCTTTAAGTTTACTAAGGTACCTGCATGCCAAATTTCAAGCGTCTATCTTACGCGGTTTAGATTTTTTCATACAAATGTTTTTTCCCGCCAACTCCCGTTTCCGTGGGAATTTTGCAATATCCTGTTGTAACTAAGCTTCCCCCCCCCCTAATTTAGAATGACGTAATATATGGACGGCCCCAAAGTGTTTTGATATTCACATTAAAATTTACAAGTGCACACTGCAATATCTAAAGATATTGTAAAGCTTATATTTAACGTGGATCTATCTGCTGATTTCAATCGATCTTTCCTTCATTGCAGATCAATATTTCAAAAGAAATCAGCAACCAGATAGCATTATAGAAGATAAATTACATTAAACCATTAGAAAATATAAATAATATTATCATAATCTAAACTCAAAACAACAAGAATGTATGCCAATCTCACAAATTAAAAAATAATACCAGTACACAAACAACATAAAGTGAACTGCAGTAGGCACAGTCCGCAAGGCCAACAATAACACTCTTTGATCTGCTCGCGCTGTCTCAAACACAAATGCTCATTTCCCGAAATCATCAAAAACAAATGCGGCTCAAAATAGAGTTATTTCTTTGTCCCTGTCAACCTTAATTTAATGACAATCATTTTTTTAAATAATACCTTCAGTATTTTGTCAATGCATAAAAATAGGGATGTCTTATCTCATAAAATTAGAACTGTTTTAACTTTACAAACTGTGTTTACTATTATTTATTAATAGTGACCTAGTTAACTCTTCAGACTGTGACAGTGTGTCTAAAATTAGATAAAAGTTTACATAAGTAACTTTAAGTCAATAAATTCTTCTGGTCCAGCCAAGCCACTCTATTAAGTGTTAAAAGTAATGAAACCTAGAAGGATACAATAATTCAAATCCAAATATCTAATAATATAAATGGCAAAAAACACTAACCTTGAGAATTCCATTTCAGATTGATATTGAGATGCAATTTTCCATTAGGTTCTAGATCCACCTGAAATAGAAATCTTTCTTTAGTTTTTGTATACTCAACTATTATTAATTCCTATTCATAAATATGGGTATCTCCAAATTTGTATCATAGTAGTACCAGCTTCCCACTCATAAATTGTTGAAAGCAAGAAATGCAAATTTCATCCTAAAGTCATGACTCATTTCATAACTATAAGGAAAATGCAATGTTATTTCAACATCAGCAATGATTCAGTTTCAAAAGAGGTCAGTCTTCTATAACCGGCTCCTGAATGACTTATCCCACCTCTTCTAATCTTTCATATTTGGGATCCGGACAGGAGAATCTTCTAAGACGGTTCATGATTCACATCACTTTGATTTTCCCCAACTGATTCACTTGGATTCTAATAAGAATCGGTCCGATAATCACAAATTGCAATATTATCAAGTTTTACAAAAGATGTGTAATCACTGACAAGACTCAATATAGCATTAGATTAAAATACTGCATTAAAATAGACTTATCAGTCAAAACAAACATTACACTAGACCTTGATAACAAGTTACAAACATACAATTTGTATATCTTATCAGAAGATTAAGGCGGATAATGATAATAACAGTCTTATGCAGAGAATTTTTTCAGTTACATGCAAGACGTTAGAGATATTGACAGCTCACCCAGAAGTCTGAAGCATCCTTGTCTCGGTGCATAAGATCCTCAAATGGAATAGTGCAGTTTGCCACAAAGTCATCAGGAGGGATAGCCGCATCGTGAAACACTGTTATACCCAAGCTAAAATAAGGTAAAAAAACATTAGTAACAAGTCTTGACTTCCTACACAATCACACTGGTGTACTATGTATTAGAAGTATCAATGTACCTGGTGACATTATGAACTTCATGTGTGAAGGTTTCATTCCACACTGGGTCAAATGTTTTGGGTTTTGTGCTCGAACGGTCTAGGTGATGCTCGTCGGCGTCGATCGAAACGTACGGGTCTATAGGCTGATCGTCTGCAAGCACAACGCGTATTTACATATACACCACCCATTTTAGTAAACATGCTACGCCTTTTTCGTGCGCAATATTCAATGTTACTGAACTGGATTGCGACGCAAAACAATTCATTCGTCTACAATAGAGTCCCTGACGACGCATCAGAATAAAGATAGGGACTCACCTGGCTTCCCGAAGGTCATGTTATGCCTTTTCTGAAAGTCGGTCGGCCTCAGTCCTGTCGCCTCGCAGACCCGTAGCCGCACCGTCCCGCTGAACATGGTGCCGCCGACCAACGAGCCGTATCACCGAGACCGCGCCGCCACACGATCACTTCCACACTATAAACCCACTCAAAATCATTGAAGGAGCCTCATATTTCTGAAAAATTAAATAAAAGACATGACAGCGACGAGATCGGCCATGGATGGATATTTTACTCTATGGTCAATAATGGATTCCAGCAGTTCGATTTCCTGAAAAAGGTTTTACTTTGCCTATGGTTTTCATGAGGTACGGACAGAAAAAAAAATAGTATCATACGACTTGATTTTTCAATACCATGGTGGTTAGATTTCTAATAAGATTTTTGAAGAAAAATTATGGGATTGTAGTTACAAATAAATTTCTTCCTTCAAGCATGAAACTAGAAAACTAGTTGAAGCTGTAGTTCATCGCTCTACTAGACTAGAGTTGACTGATGGCCGTTGAGGCAGAAAAGTTGAGTGGTTAAGTGCTGACCAGCCGACCAGCCATGGGCTGTAGCCTGTAAGACGTCGTGTAGTAGTGTGGGCAGGCCCCCCATTACTTAGGTAGAACGATGACCTGCATGCGGGCAACGCAGACCGGTCGTAATGGAAATCCTTGGGGGGGCCTTTGTCCAGCAGTGGACGTCATTTTACTGCAATGAACTACAAGCGTATGAATAGAGTTTTTACAAGCTTTATTTTAACTAACAAAATCAAATGTATGAATTAAATATCATATACTTGGGTATTTCGCCAAAAATGGTCGATTTTGCCTAATTTCCTTGGCACGAATTTTTTTTTTGTTTCTAACTATTTTTATTTTCCCATTGCATTAAGAAGCAAAAACTAAGCCAATGTATCTAAAAGGGGTGTCATAATTCGTTTTAGAAACAAAGTTATGAGGTCATGAATTTTTGGTAGCCAAGGAAATTATTATAAATATTGTTTTCTCCAAGTTTTCTTCTGTGGTTTGCTTTTTTTTAATTCGACCCATTTTAGTGTACCTTCGCAAGCAAACATACCAATGATTATTATATCGTTATAACGTTTTTACACAACTAAGGAAGATAAATGCAGTAGATTGAGTTAAGAGTTAAAAACAGGTTGTGCTATATCTATTCTGATACCCATTTCTTAAAATGGAAATTTTAAACTTATTCCAATAAAGAAATACCAAAAATTTGACTTTACGCCTAATTAAAAAGGGTCTTTTATAATTTCCTAGGCCATTTTAAGCCACGGAAAACAAGGAAATTAGGGCCAAAGAAATTAGATTTATGCCTAAAAGACACCACAAACAAAAACCTATTTACCCTATCCATTTACTATTTAAATTATGGGTTAACCCCTACAGACACTACATTTGTGTAAATAAACATTAAAATTAATCCATTGTTTAGCTGCAAAAAACCGCCCAAAGAAATTGACTTTTTAGTAAACAAAAACCCAAGGAGGGACCTACTTACGCGATTTGTCGCGAAACTGATCAACGATGTACTGTCCTGCCTTGATGGTCTCTTGGGACGTAATGGCCGAGTTGTAACGGTGCAGTGCGTTACATTCTAAGTTTTTTCGTTTCGTTACTACAATGGTCGAAAAGAAGACCCAGGGAAATTATAATTTTGACCTGGACAAGAACTTAACTTCACTTTATTTTCTCCATATAAGTATTTGACATTTAAAGTTTTTATTTTTCGATAGCCAAACGTTTCTCAAATGTAAAGAGAGTGCTATTAGAATTAAATTACGCTTCAATTTGTTATAATGTGCCTTCATTTTGGCAAACAACAGTAATGGACAGAACAAGGAAATTAGAAAAACGACTTTTGATTAAGTTTTTCTACGGTTTTATTTGTAGTTTCTGCTATTGTAATAGCAAAAACAAATAAAACTTTTGATGAACTTTCCCATAAAAATAGTTTGATACATATAGATACAAAAAAACATGTGTTCGCCTGCCTGGACACAGAAAATTTACTGTTTCGGCGAAATACCCACTTACATTTTCAGATTTTCAAAGAAGGTAAAAAGGCAAAAGAAGAGCAAGAGTGCTTGAAAAGTATAAATTATTAAAAATATAGAAAAAAGATTGCCCATCTCTGAAAAAATCTAGACGATAACGTCGATAACACGCACACATTGCGTCGTGTCGTGCGATATTTTCCAATGATGAACGCAGCACATTTGAAAAAAAAACATACATTGACATTTCTTCTTGTCATTAATGACATCAAATGACATTTCCTGCTGATGGATGCCTGCTGTTTACTGTCAACAAAGAAATGAAAAGTTTTTAGTAATTACAAAGTGAATTTAATAATTAAGACATGGGATTCTTAACTATTTTGAAGAAGCTTCGTCAGAAGGAGAAAGAAATGAGAATACTTATGTTGTATCCTTTTGAAAAAAGTTGTAAAATAAGGTTATATTGTAGTCAGTTTTTTAATATTTTTCTTGACTAGATTTAATTCAGAGGCCTAGATAATGCTGGTAAGACCACGATATTGAAGAGATTCAACGGCGAGCCTATCGACACGATCTCCCCGACCCTGGGTTTCAACATAAAAACACTGGAGCACAAAGGTTTCAAACTGAACATCTGGGATGTTGGTGGTCAGAAATCTTTGAGGCAAGTAATTTAATTTGGCTTACATTAATAAAAATATTCAAGTACTATTAAAACATTCCACTGATCCTATGTATTAGCTTCAGTTTTTCACATAACTTCCAGAGACATCAAAATAGTGCTATGCTGCTGATTATTATTGAAAATCATTTACAAGGTGACTTGAAAATAAGACACTTTTCTTATATTAAAAATTTATAAGACTCATAACTAGAGATGAAACGGATAGTTGTTTGGCCGGATACCGGATACCGGATATCCGGCCAGCTGCTAGGCCGGATAGCCGGATATCCGGCGGCCGGATAGTTGGCCATTGTCTCGTTGCATGTCGTGACGAGTATAGTGCCGCACAGGTGCTTCGAAGTTCGAACGCGATCAGTGGGTCTATTAGTAGAATAGACTAGTCACACATTTGGAAAATCGAATCCGTCCGAACAGAATGTCAGATTTTGCCACTTGTCTAGGGGGCAGATCAATTCAATTTCGGCTGCAATCGTGAGTGTGTGATTGAATAGCGAAAATTTAACTATACTGGTCATCACAAAAATCGGCCCACCTACGTTTTACAAGAAAACTCGTTTCTACTGACACAGTCATGGTGCTCCAACAATATTGGTGTTATTTGGAAGCCCAATAAATATCCTTAAAGAAAAACACATTTAATTTCTTAATAAACGATTAACATAAACGCGATATACAATAAATGTGACTTGAAAAAAGACCTCACTTTGGGCTCACCTCTGGGATCAATTAGACCAATTTTCATGGTTATAAAACCAAATAATGATCTCACGTGTCCTCTTTAACAGCTGGATAGCGATTAATCCCAACTTAACAGTTTTATAGCTGTTACGGTCAAAGTGATAAATGCGAAAATTATGAATAATCGCCGGTTATTATGAATAATTACCACATGATTTGGTAAATGTGATTAATATGAGGTCATTTATGTGTGTATAAAACTAAATAGGCGGCTTAGGGGTGGCCCAAGGGCCACCCCCGCCGCACCTTAACCTATTTTTCACTTTAAATCAAAACATTATGTTATAGGCATCATGGAAGAGTAATATTATGCAAGAAACATTCCAAACTCATTATGCCAAATTATATTAATATAATATGATATCAAAACGTTCTAAAGTTTGGCTGTACACGAGCACGTACACAAGATGTTGTTCTCTTTTATGATATATGTTAGTACTAAGGTTGAATTATTAAATAATCACTGTTAAATGTTATTAATTTATCACTTTCACCGCGACTGTCGGTAATTATTCATAATAACCGGTTATTATTAATAATTTTCAATTTATCACATTAACCGTAACATAGACATAAAAGTCGGCTCAAGCGTAACTACCTATTTTTTGAAGAAGTGACCCTGGATTCTTCTACAGACACATTTTTGGGGTAAAACCCTTTCCTTTAATGAAATGAAGTTTAGAACTAGGTTTTTAAATGGTGCCAATATTGGTGGGAAGTGGGGATGCATACGTTTGAAAGTGCTTGTCGCGGGAGGGTCGGTCTTTGTGATGACCAGTGTTATAGTTGCATCATGTCATCAGACCATCAGTGAAAAAAAAATCGCCTATTTTTTTGGCAATATTTCGAAATTAACAGATATTTACTATATTCTATGTATTCGTCATTAGAGTGAATAGCCCAGAAAAATAAATTAGTTTTGAAAGGCCTTAATATGGCTTTTTTGTAACTTTTTGGACTTTAAATAAAAGCAGTCATTATTGTAAGCCATTTTATTGATATTTACCTCGAAGATTAATGTATTTCATTTTATTAATAGGAAATTGTAGTTTTTTTTAATATCCGGTATCCGGCCGGATAGTGAGTTACTATCCGGTATCCGGCCGGATAGTAAATTAGGGCCGGATATCCGGCCTACCGGATAGTTGCCGGATATCCGTTTCATCTCTAGAAAATTATGAATAATCGCCGGTTATTATGAATAATTACCACATGATTTGGTAAATGTGATTAATATGAGGTCATTTATGTGTGTATAAAACTAAATAGGCGGCTTAGGGGTGGCCCAAGGGCCACCCCCGCCGCACCTTAACCTATTTTTCACTTTAAATCAAAACATTATGTTATAGGCATCATGGAAGAGTAATATTATGCAAGAAACATTCCAAACTCATTATGCCAAATTATATTAATATAATATGATATCAAAACGTTCTAAAGTTTGGCTGTACACGAGCACGTACACAAGATGTTGTTCTCTTTTATGATATATGTTAGTACTAAGGTTGAATTATTAAATAATCACTGTTAAATGTTATTAATTTATCACTTTCACCGCGACTGTCGGTAATTATTCATAATAACCGGTTATTATTAATAATTTTCAATTTATCACATTAACCGTAACATAGACATAAAAGTCGGCTCAAGCGTAACTACCTATTTTTTGAAGAAGTGACCCTGGATTCTTCTACAGACACATTTTTGGGGTAAAACCCTTTCCTTTAATGAAATGAAGTTTAGAACTAGGTTTTTAAATGGTGCCAATATTGGTGGGAAGTGGGGATGCATACGTTTGAAAGTGCTTGTCGCGGGAGGGTCGGTCTTTGTGATGACCAGTGTTATAGTTGCATCATGTCATCAGACCATCAGTGAAAAAAAAATCGCCTATTTTTTTGGCAATATTTCGAAATTAACAGATATTTACTATATTCTATGTATTCGTCATTAGAGTGAATAGCCCAGAAAAATAAATTAGTTTTGAAAGGCCTTAATATGGCTTTTTTGTAACTTTTTGGACTTTAAATAAAAGCAGTCATTATTGTAAGCCATTTTATTGATATTTACCTCGAAGATTAATGTATTTCATTTTATTAATAGGAAATTGTAGTTTTTTTTAATATCCGGTATCCGGCCGGATAGTGAGTTACTATCCGGTATCCGGCCGGATAGTAAATTAGGGCCGGATATCCGGCCTACCGGATAGTTGCCGGATATCCGTTTCATCTCTACTCATAACCCTAGTACCAGCGAATCCAGACTTTCTTATATTCAAAACTTATAAGACACTCATAACACTAGTACCAGCGAATTGAGACTCAATAGAAACCAATTCTTATGCAACTGCTTAGGGTTCCATCACTATAGGTTAATGTTTCTTATTCACAGTAATAGCTGCTTATAAGATTATTGTCAGATTGTTGGGTGTGTGTTAATTAAAGTGGTTATCTATGACTCCAAGTCCATTTGGTGTAGTGGTTCAGAACGGACTACTATTCCGAGAGGTCACGGGTTCGATTCCTGGCCGGGTAGAAATTGAAATAATAAATTTTAATTTCTGTGACGGGTCTCGGTGATACGTTATGTATTTGCAAAAAATAAGTGTTTAAGTATGTTTACATCCGTTGTCTACCCATAGTACAAGCTTTGCTTAGTTTGGGATTAGAAGTGTAGTGTAAAAATGTGCAAGGATATTTATTTATTTTACAGTCTTGTAGTCCCTAAAATAACCAGCACCTTAAGTACAGAAGTTTAAATACGTTGTAAACATCGTTTGTCTTCTAATGTCTTGTTGGTAGTCCTATTAAATAAATGAATAAACATGTAACCTCCAGGTCATACTGGAAGAACTACTTCGAGAGCACAGACGGAGTAGCATGGGTGGTGGACAGCGCGGACGCGCGCCGGCTGCCGGACTGCGGGCGCGAACTGCGCGCGCTACTGAGAGAGGAGCGGCTGGCGGGCGCCACGCTGCTCGTGCTGGCTAACAAGGCAGATTTACCAGGGGCACTCACGCTGCAGGAGATTAAGGAGGTGAGGATGCTATACGCCTAGCACTTAATATGCCCTCCTCACGCACTGACTGAGTTATGACGTAACAAAGCACACAAATCTGAAGTCCCACTGACATTTGATGCCTCAATCTCCTTCCCATGTTGCTCCCATACCTCAAGCAGTTCAGGCACTGTCTGAGCTAACCTTCAGTATAAATTGATGTTTGTATTTGACTAACATGAGACAAATCACGGTTGATAGTGCTATTACTTCAGTTTTTAAAGTTACAGAACCAATAAAAGTTCACTCCAACATTATTAAACTAATATGCTCCAAATGAAATTGTCAGGCAGTGTTTATAACTAGATTTTGTTTCAAATAGCAATTCATTTACTAGGGCACTAACTAAAAGGCATGACTCATCATCAGCAAGATGACATCATGGATACTGCTTCTAGATCATGACAAGTTTTTGATTTGCTTTCGCTAAAAAAGAGACAGTGTGTGTGCTGTTTACACTGCACTCACTTCAACTCATCCCCATTTCAGGACTTGATATGACTGCAAAGACCCATCTGCAACTAAATTTCGAAAAGGTAAATTATCAACCGTTTATTAATATTTTCAGGCTCTGGACCTGGACAGCATAAAGACGCACCACTGGCGCATCGTGCGGTGCTCCGCTGTGACGGGCGAGAACCTTCTGGAGGGCATGGATTGGATGCTGGATGACATCGCCTCCAGGATATTCACTCTGGACTAACATCTAACACCACTGCTATGTGAACAAATCTATGTGTATATGAGACACAAACATTGTGTTTGCTCTAAATTGCAGGTGCTAGCTGGCCTTTAGACACCCCACAGACAACAGACTTTTTGTTTGGCCGATAGTTTGTTCGGGCTGTAAACGACATGTAAAAACGTATGGTATAGATGTGCGGATATTACACCAATTTGGTGTCGGCCGATTGCCCTTACAAATTGTAAGCCGACCAATCTAGTCTGTAGTTTGTGGGGTGTCATAATTATTCTTCTGTTGAAGTGGTTAGTCTTTTTAATACCTACAATCATTTCAATTGTATAAAACAGAAACTGCCTTGACAGCTAGCAGCCTGTAGCTTTTTTAACATGTTATTTTAAGGCTTGTTTTTGTTTCAATCTAATGAGGGTTTTCGCGAATGAAAGATCCGCTAGATGGCGGGACGTGGATGTGGGGTCTGACTGCTGCGTGATTGGTGGATTTTGACATATCTGTCAATGTCATGTCAATAATAACCAATCATGCAGCATTTGGACCTCGCGTCTACGTATTGCCATCTGGCGGATTTTTCATTCGCGGAAACCCTCATTGATATGAAACAAAACAGTTATTTATGTAAGTAACAAATTATTTTGTAAATGAAAAAGTCTTTTCATTCCATGACTTTACTTGAACGCTTGTAAACATAACCACAAATGCAAATGATAAACTGTGATTTATTCTTGATCTAAATTATTGAACCTATTATAAAGTTTTGTAACAAGAACACTTCAGTTTTAATTTGAACTAACCCTCATTAAAGGATTCCAATTTCACTACGAATATTATGACACTCGTGTGCTAAGTTGGTGAGTACAATCCAGGCAGGTAGCAGCCAGAACGAAGACGATGGCGAAAGTGCCTTTTCCTGTGATTTCGGCACTGTAGTGTAAAAGTTGTAAACAAAGTGTAATTACCAACTTAGCACACGCGTTTCATATGTTTCAACACACTTGCAGGAAAATTTTGTAGGTATGTACATTGTACATTCATTCAAGTTTCTCAAGAAAACTTTGGAAAATTCTTTATGGGAGGTTGCGTGGCACGAACAGTCTTTTAACTACAAATTGTAAATATGTTTCTCATATTTACTAATTAATTAGTGAATACATAATATTTCATGACAACATACCTATTATGTTGAAAAAATAAATAATTTTATGAAATCTGTATTTGTAATAATTAAACAATCTCATTTTATTCAACAAGCACAATAAATGTTTTCTATGTCTATTATTCATATAAAAAATAGTGTTTTATAACAGACTATCTGAAATAACCTCTATTTTAATAAAAAACTATTTTCATTAGCTTATGGTTATAATATTTTAAAAAGCATGCGTTATACACCCATGCTTTATGCTCTATTTACATGACAGTGTATTATGTATACTTAAAAATGGTGCTATAAGTCACTATGAATGTGTGTTGCAAGTGTGTTGAAATTTACTACAGTACACTTCAGTAAACAGGCTATGTAATGACAGATGCGGGAGTACTAGGAATGCTCAGAGTGTTCTGGTTCTTCGGGTTTTTCTTCGGCCACAGGTTGCACGTTGTTAACTTCGCTAGCGTCTGTAGTTTGCTCTCCATTTACTGTGCTGTCATTCACTTCAGCTTCTACCGTAGTATTTGCATCGACACTCATATTCTGATCTTCAACTTCTTGACTTCTATCTACAGTTTTAACTTCATCTGTTTCTGGAACAAAAATTTATAAGATACAAAATAAATGACTATAATAAAAACGTAATAAAAAAATATTTTTATGATTCTAATTTGAGCACAAAAAATAGTTAGAAACTTTTTATTAGAATAGAAACAAAGATTTCTGTTACCATTTTTAACCTCAGCCACCATTTCATCCTTATCATTAGGCGCATCATGTCTATCGTCGCCGTCGCTGTCTTCTTTCTCATCAGCATCTGCCGCGAACTTATTTCTTTTGTGTCCCTTATCGTCCTCGTTCATTTCCTGGTCCTGTTCCGCGGGATCCTTCTGCAGCGGCATGTCGACGTCCTTGTCGGTGAGCTCCGGATCGTTCTCCTTGGCGCCGGGGCCGCGAGGCCGTAGGCAACGCTGCTCTATCCGCTGGAGTTCCTCTTGCAGTTCTTGCCGTTTCTTGATCATGCATTCTGTAAAAGTTAATTAAGAATGTTAAATTAACCTTTACATAAATTAAGCCCAGGCACTTTCTGTTAATCTGTACAGTGTACACACTTTTAAAGGATAAGTTACTTTTTACATAGTATGCATGTCCTAAAAGATTGTGTGAAATTATTTACCTAAAAATTTTAATAGCTTTGTTTTAGTAATGACACATAAGATTGATACAATGAAAATGAAATACACCCAAGTTATCTATTTATCAGAGACCAAAAAGAGGATGTGGTAAATATTTTTATACTCACTGCGGTACAAAGGACCATATTTTGCTGTAAATTATTAATTATTAGTGCTTGATTAAAATATTAAATTTTTCTATTAATCATTATATTTCTGAAATCTAATTCTAACCCCATGGTTACATGTACCGTTACAGCATCGTCACCACTCAGATGAAAACATTGCCATTCTGTTAATATAAAAATTACTTACTTTCATGGAACTTTCTGCTTGAATTCAACTTCTCTGTGGCCTTTTCAGACATTTTCTTCGGTATCCAATAAATGTGGGGCTTAGCTTTGGTGAGGATAAAATTAGCGATGCTCTTCTGTGATTCTTCCCATTTCTCAAACTCCTGAACTCGCGCCATTTTAGCTTCCAAAGCCTTTATCTTGGCTTTCTTGTGTTCTCTCTCAGCATATAAGGTCTTTCGTTCTTTCTGTTCTCTTTCCTTTTCTAGCCGGGCCTGCTCTTCTATCTTGCGTTCTACTTGTGCCTTCTTGTCTTCCTGTAATTTATAAAATGTAAAGTGAATATTGTTAGCCATTAGACATAAGAAGATACTACAAGAGATGACCTCTTAATTGCCACAAACCAGATTCTTCATAAGATACATTGAAGGAATTTGTTAATTATTTGATATTTACACAAATACAAGAAAAATATTTAAAAAATATGCTAATACCTTAGTCTGTAGCACTATCTCTTCCTGTTTGAACTTTTGTAGTGTGCCTAGAAGTGATCCAAAGATACGTCTGTTACGTTTCCGGGCCTGTTCATCGTCACCCTGTGCTCTAAGCACTGCGGCCCGGGTGGGCAGCTCACGGCACACAGCAGAAGGCACTCTCCCCCTCTTGATTCCTGGTCCGTCATCTTCCCCATCACTGTCTTGGACTCGTGCTGATAACCTAAACCACATATTGAGAATGTTTCAGAACAACTTTTGAACCACTGACTGACCAAAGATCCTGTTGTAGCCAATTTTCAGTGCAATTTTAGTTTCACTGATAAAGGACTGCTTACATTAATCAATTAAATATTGAAATTAACAAAAACTCCAAATTAAACAAGCTGCAGTGACAAGTACACAATGCACAATCATTATCCCAATAATGTTTGTAATGATTTTCGATAACACTTAATGAATTCATTAATGAGTGATTTTTTGGCCGTCAATACACACATTAATACGAACAGTACCTGCTAAAAACCGTTTTAGTCTCATGTTTTCGTTTTCCAAATAATTGTTCTTCATTCTTGTAGTTATTACCGGCGTCTTGGAACGAATTCCGACCACCTGCACGAAATCCACTTTTGTAATAGTCTCCAGACGCATTGTTGAACCTGCTGTAATATATTTAACACGTCAGAACAAATTAAAATACTCACAAATTACTACATTTTGTCAAGGTGATTACTAACCTATCGTTAGAAAAACTCCGCCCTGAAACTTGAATTTTCTTGATGTTTTCGTCAATTTTAAACAAACTACTCTTTTCATTTTCTAATTGTGTTCGTAAAGAACTAAAAGATATTGCTACTTCCGTCCCCATTGTATTAGAAATACTGAATTTACGATAAAATCACAACAATTCCGACTTCACTTTGCTTTGCTTTGGGCTATTTTTTTTTATCGATCAACTTCACATTCACAGATTAAACACCGACAGCTTCAAAGCGTCAGGAGCGTTTTGTTTTCCATGTCATTTTTTAAATTTACTTATTATTTTAAACTACGACTAAGATGCATTCATAAATTATTCATAGGCGTAGTACCTATGTAATAAAATGCGTAAATTAGTAATATAGGTAGGTAATAAAATACTAACAGATTTCTGTTCGACAAGCGCAATATTTATTTGTCGACAGATGTCGCTGCTTGTTGCAAAAAACCGCGTATATTGGTTTAACATCTTATTCCGCTCACCGATAGATGTCGCTATAAGTCTTAAGATTCGTAGTAATAAATTATAAAATGTTATTAAATGCGTGAATTAAGTAAAATAAGTAGGTAGGTAATAATTTAAAATACTAAAAGTTATTTCTGCTCGACAAGCATAATATCTATTTTGTAGACAGATTGATGTCGCTGCTTGTTGCAAAAAACCACGATTTGATTAACATTTTATTCCGCTTAACCATAGATGTCGCTATAAGTCTTATGATTCGAATGAAATTATTACAAGTTTTTCATTTCCCCACTTTACAGAACGCAGAGATACCTAATTAATGTAACATATAAACTAATTGTGATCGCTAAGTACTTTTCAAGCTCAAAAACACAGGCTTTGTGTTCTCTAAATTGATACAGGTCAGTAGGTAAGCAACAACGCTCTTACAAGTAGGTAGGTAGGTACCTACTTAGCAGGACTAGGCACTAGCACTACCCATAGGAATGTTGGGTTTAAAATGTAATTGGTACTAAGACCAAGGAGACTTAGGTTTTGTAAGATAGGTACGAAGTAGGTTTATTAAAATTTCGTTTTTACGCAAACAATACTTAATTCCGATTGTACCTAAGTTATGAAAAACAGTTCAACAGTGAGTATTTCATTACATTCGACATTATAGTTAAGCTTGGCACTCTTTTAAGAAATTTGTTGTATAATGCCATTGCTTGTGATGATGGTGGTAGTCAGAAAGATATCGGACGCACCTTAGAGGTCAAGTCATCGCATGACCTAAACGCAATTTCGTTCAGTTATTTCAATTTCACGCCCGCCCAACCGCGCCCGCCCACGCGCTCTCTCCCGTCAGCGCTGTTATTTATACGCAATCAGCAACACGTCGCCGGTGCCATCTGACGAAGATGGATGGCGCAATTTAATTAAATTTATGTTTTTTTAGACTAGATTGACAGATTCTGAAAACCTTCTGAAAGTTCTCAG